ACGCTTATTGCTTACGATTGGGAGCTCGACCTTGCTCGATTCTTGTTCCATGCTATTGCCCCAACTTCATACTTTATGAGGGAAGCATCCACCGACGTTGAAACCTCTAGAATCATCATGATTAAGAGATTGAAATTTTCGCATAACCCATCAGAAATATCTTCTTCGATCAGTGAGCTACTGACTTCTAATTTGAATTCTAACCATTGAATTTGGTGATGTGTGAACATTCTAGATTGTGTTCAATTTTGGAAGAGATCCAATGGCTCAATTTTGAGATTTGATGGATTTTGTGCAAGAGGCCACTGTGGAGGTTCTGATTTTGAGGAGAATGACATATCTATAATTATCCTTAGTTTTTTTTTTTATTATTTTGGTAATTTGCCACTTTTCGAATATTAACTATAAACTCATAATTTTTCTAAAACTTCATCCTCTACTGGACATTTTTCCGTTCTCGACCATCTCAAGATTCCTTTTATATAAGGAATTAAAAATCCTAAAAATTCCATAGAAATTGAAAAACTACCTTTTGTCCTTTTGGCTTACCTTTTCATTTCCAATTATTCTCCAAAAGCCTTAACTTCTTACGATTACTTGTTATGGTATAGAAATAACTTGCTTAAGACTATTTTCCTTGCACGATACCTCAAAGGAGTTTGATTAAGCCAAGAGTGAATGAATCGTGTGTGATAGCCACAGTGGCAATAATAAATGTTGGTGCTTAGGCACAACATGAAGAGGCGCTAGATGACTAGTTGCCTATAGATATATATATGTATATCTTGAACCTAGGATGATTGTTAGAAACGGACTGAAGGAACATAGAAGAATGAAGTTTTTTTATAACGACAATAAATGATTACAGGAGAAAACCGTCAAACATCTTACCCAAGTTGAAATTCTCGAGAGTATGATGTATAAGCTTAAGATCAAGACATTGCTCTCAAGCTAAAACTAGCCTGTTGAATGGATTTTGATAATAAGTACAATTAAGATCATGAGTCCGACTCCACACCCTAATGTCTTAGTACCATTTCATGGAAAGAATGGATCCCAGCTTACCTATGCCTAAAATCACCTAGTACCTCTTATCTTTCGGTATGTCCCGAGTTCACGACTTTCACCTTGATTAGTAAGGTGTCACTTATGATTTTACTATCTAAATTGGTCTGTCATATGATTTCATACTGATCCAGTAACCCATATTGGTCTAAGTAAGGGTGTCATATTCAAGAATTATGATTATGTATTGGTATGGAAATGGACATGGGCCTTTGAAGGGCTAATGCTCTATAAACCCACTTTGGAAGGGTGTGGAACCACGTGGGTACATAGAACCATGGGTTAGGCATAGGCAGTCCAAGGACCTAAATCATGATCCCGTGGATGAATATTGCGTGAGTTTGCAAGTATAAATGATAAAAAATATTGCGTGAGTTTGCCAATATAAATGATAAAAAAACTCAAGATAAGAAGTCTGGTACCCTTAACTAGGCTCATGGTATGATCGAGGTTTTGTAAGACCATCATGAGATGTAAGTTCGAGATCGTGACACTAAAGCCAATATGGGTGCTAGCGACACTTCGTTCATTTTCAAGAAAAGAACTAATGATAGGTACAACATATGAAGTGTGGAGAGACAAACCAATGATTTGCTGTCTATGAGGCATTTATGCCAATCGCAACGGGGCATCCTTACTGACTCACGAAGCCTCAAAAGAGTGGAATTTGGAATGAACCTTAGATCACGTTTGAGAAGGTTGTTGCATGAGAACTTATGGGTCCATACAATATTGAGATGAATACGACACAAGAGTAAATTTTCACTAGTGAAGTGTGATAGAGAAGCTAAATCATCATATTGACATGACACATGTAGATGTTAGCAAAGTTTGTGAATCGATGTTCGACTTGTGAGCAAGTTAGACGCAAAGACAAAGACCCTTAGAATTATCATAGCCCTCGAGCATCCCATAGTGGAAGTGGGAGGGTGTGAAAATATTCTATCTCTAACTTGTCAAATACAAGGGAACGTTGCACAATGATTTAGGTCACCACGGACAAATTACCGAAGTTGACACACTTCATTACTAGAAAATCCACCAATTTAATAGACAATTAGACATGAAGATACTTAGAGGAGATAGAGAATGACATAATGTTCCAATGTTCATAGAGCCGAACAAGGATACTCCCTTGCATTAGAATTATAGAAGAAATATGCAAACACCAAAAGGAGGAACTCGAATTTGAACAAAAGATCATGTATTCCTTAAAGTTACTCCTGTGAGAGGAGGACTGAGGTTGGGAAGAGAGGAAAGTTGATCCCTTGTTTATTAGACACTTAAAATCTTCGAACACATTGGGCCGGTGGCGAATAGGCTACCATAGAATTGACGCTTGCTATCGTCCACAATGTGTTCCACATGTTCATGCGTAGAAAGTATACCACCGATCCAATTGCACATCATCAATTACAAGCACTACCTCGACATCGAGACTTGAAGTACTAGGAGCAACCCATGCAGATATTTTACCATGTGTATGAAAACTCTATTGAACCAGAGAAACAACTTTGATTAAAGTGCAATGGTGAAACCTTCCTCCTAAAGAAGTGACTTGGAAACAAGAGAACAAGATGAGAACCAAGTACTACCCGAGTTGTTTTATTATATAATATATGTATTTCAAAAAAAAAAGAGAGAAAAAAACATGTTTTCTGCTGCATGGTACGATGTGCGTCAACGATAAGGACAACAAAGACAGACAATGACTAGATGGCTTCGAATTCATGGAATTGAAGCTTGGTCACGGGTTGAAAGGTGAAACACCTCAAAAAATAAAGGGAATTAGCTCCAACAAAAATTAAGTCGTTCATGTAAGACCCAAAGGATCAAAAGGGAAGAAATTAAAAGATTAAGTAAGGACAAGGGAATTAAGCAAGTCACTCATATATCCTAATAAGTAATCTTGACGAGTTAAGGCACTTGGAAAGGACGGGAAATTAAACGTAAGTGAAAATGGCAAAAATGTCATTTTTCCCATTATCAAGAATCTTTTCTGATGTTTAATTCCTTATCTAGAAGAAATTTCATGAAAAAGAAATAATGACCAATAAGGGAGGAGAAGAAGGATGTATAGAAAAATTATGGATTTTTCAAAAAAAATAATAAAAAAATATTTTGAAATTGGCAAATTACCAAAATATCCCTAGAAGAATGGATAATTACAAAAATGCCACTCTGATCAGAATCATGTCATCCTACCATGACCATCTGAACAAAATCCTTCAAAACTCAAATCCCGACCGCTGAATCTCCTCCAAAATTGGATATGATTCAGAACATGCATAGATCATCACATCCAATGGCTATTATTCAAAACCAAGGTCGGTAAGGCTTTGATCGGAGTTGATATTTTCGACGGGTTGTTCAAAAAGTCCAATCTTCAAATCACGACGATTGTGGAGCTCTCAATGTCAGTTTAAGTTCCTCCCATAAATGCTGAAGTTGGGGCAACAATATGGAACAAGAATCGAGCAAGATCAAACTCCCAATCGAAGGAAATAAGCATTTAGATTTTCGATCTCTTACTCTTGGATTTCTTCCAAATTCAAGAGAAATTCTCCACCATTTCTCTTTAAATGTGTTCTTACAGTCTCGAAACAAGATTATCCACAAGTTTTATGAAAAAATAGAGTGCTAAAAGTGCTCATAAACCATTCCCTCAATCCAATCCGTCATTGAAGAGTTTCAAGGAAAACAAGAAAATCCAATTTGAGGATACACGATAATTCGTCGAGCAAGGACGATTCTAATCAATTTTTGTACCAACAAGGAATGTTTGTATAGAAGACCACGAAGAGAAATAACCTTAGGAACATGCCCAATTAAAGGAAATTCATTTTGAGTAGAATTTGGGGGGAAGTGTCGAATTCCTATCTCGGTCCCTGTTCCTTCAAACTAAAGATTCCTTTAGCTTTTAGAGGAAGAATTTGAGTAACTTTGATGAAGAAATCAAGAGTTAAAACGTCCTAGAACAAGCTACCCAAGAGAACAAAAATTTGGTGTTTCGGGTGAGTTGCAGACTGATAGCGATTTCTAGAAATTAAGGTTCCCATACACAAGGACGTTCCAACAAACAACTTTCTTTAGCTTGAGGAAAGGATATCGAACAGGTTTCATGAAGAAATCGGGCCTTGAAAACCCCTAGAATCCCTATCTCTTCCTTGTAACACCAAAGTTTCATGAACATATCAAGGGGAGAAATGACGTGATCGAAGCTGTGGAGCTCAACTTTCAGACGGTGGCACGATGAAAACGCGCGTTTTCTTCCTGTCTAGGAAGAAGACGATGACGTGGCCAAGTCAACCCAAAATCTGACCTTCCCTTGGTTATTCTCAATTTTAACCTTCTTTCAGACCGATTCTCATGAAAATGTTTATGGTTCCAGAGACTATACACAATAAGCAGTCTGTGGAGAAAAATTTGAAGTAATTCGGATACTAGAAGTTCAAGAACCGAAGTCCCGAGCGTCGACAATGAGAAATAGCTTGTCTCATGTCACACTTTCACGTGCTTCTACTTCTTCTAAAAAAAAAAAAATTGGAGTCCACACATACATCTATATTGAAATGTGTCATTCTTCTGACAACTATTGTTATAGGCAAATTATATTACATGTATTTAGGTATTACAATTTCGAGCAAGGTTGGATATACATGCTTGCAACATTATCCTCTTACACATTGATTCCGTTCATATATTAATAATAAGATTTTTTTTATAAAAAAAAAATTAAGTCATTTTTTTAAAAGAATATTAATTAAACTTTTGATGTATTTTTAAACGGATATTTTTTGAATTTTTTTTAATAGTTTACTAATAGTTTATTTTGAGATTTTATTTTTAAAAGTTGAGGATATATTGAAAATTTTGAAACTAGGCAAAGGATATTTTTATTAATTTAGAAAATATATATATACCTCCGCCGGGGACTCGACCAAATTCGTTGTGTTGTGTTTTTGCTTATGCCTCGTTTTGGAACAGAAGAATGAGAAGGTCTCCCAAACACTCGAGTATCGGCGCCGGATACATATTTCCGCCGGAGACTTGACGCTGATTGCAAGTCCGATCTGAAAGTATCGGCGCCGTCGTCATAGCATGTCCTGAACAACACAAGAAACTTCATTATTACCGCCATGGTTGAGCTCCCCAAAGTCCTATCCCCTACACTGGTTCTAAAGCTCCTCAAAGCAGAGAAAAACCCCAATTCGGCGCTCGCTCTGTTCGATTCGGCGTCTCAGCATCCTGGTTATGCTCATTCACCATTCGTGTTCCACAACATTCTCCGGCGACTTATTGATCCGAAGCTCGTTGTTCACGTTGGTCGGATTGTCGAGCTGATACGATCTCAGAGATGCATCTGCTCCGAAGATGTTGCGCTGACGGCTATCAAAGCATATACTAAGTGTTCGATGCCCGATGATGCTCTGCATTTATTTCAGCGAATGGTAGACATTTTTGGGTGTAAACCGGGAATTAGGTCATATAATTCTATGCTTAATGCGTTCATTGAATCTAATCAATGGAGCCGTGCTGAACTGTTTTTCACATACTTTCAGACGGTGGGCATGTCGCCCAATCTGCAAACGTATAATATTTTGATCAAGATATCGTGCAAGAAGAAGCAATTTGAAAAGGCGAAGAGGTTGTTGAATTGGATATCGGAGAAGGGTTTGAGCCCAAATGTTTTCAGCTATGGTACTTTAATTAATGCACTTGCTAAGAGTGGTAACCTATCGGATGCCCTGAACCTGTTTGATGAAATGTCTGAGAGAGGGGTGAACCCTGATGTTCTGTGTTATAATATTCTGATTGATGGGTTTTTCAGGAAAGGAGATTTCGTGAAGGCTAGTGAGGTTTGGGAGAGATTACTGAGGGAATCTTCAGTTTATCCGAGTGTGGCGACATATAACATTATGATTAATGGTTTATGTAAGCTGGGGAAGTTCGATGAGAGTATGGAGATATGGAATAGAATGAAGAAGAACCAAAGGTCACTTGACTTATTTACTTATAGCTCTATGATCCATGGCTTGAGCAAAGCAGGAAACTTCCATGCTGCTGAGAGAGTTTTTCAGGAGATGGTTGACGTTGGGTTATCCCCTGATGTGACAACATATAATACAATGCTAAGTGCTCTATTTCAAGCCGGTAAGCTAATGAAATGCTTTGAGTTATGGGAGCTTATGAGTAAGAATAACTGTTGCAATATTGTCAGCTATAACATATTCATTCAAGGGTTGTTTGACAACAAGAAAGTGGAAGAAGCGATTTGTAACTGGCAGCTCTTACATGAGAGAGGCTTTACTGCTGATTCAACTACTTATGGACTGTTGATTCACGGGTTGTGTAAAAATGGATACTTGAATAAGGCTTTAAGGATACTAAAAGAAGCAGAAAATGAGGGAGCTGATTTGGATATATTTGCGTACTCCTCGATGATCAATGGGTTATGCAAAGAAGCAAGGTTGGATCAAGCGGTCGAGCTGGTTCATCAGATGAACACACATAAACATAAACTGAATTCTTATGTCTTCAATTCACTGATTAATGGATATGTCCGAGCTTCTAAGCTTGAGGAGGCTACTTTTCTTTTAAGGGAAATGAGCAAGAAAGGCTGTTCTCCTACTGTGGTCTCCTACAACACTCTTATCAATGGACTGTGCAAGGCAGAAAGATTTAGCGATGCATATCTTTTTCTGAAGGAGATGCTGGAAAAGGGTTTGAAGCCTGATATGATTACCTATAGCTTGTTGATTGATGGCCTTTGTCGAGGAGATAAGCTCGACATGGCACTCAACTTATGGGATCAATGTATCAACAAGGGTCTTAAGCCCGATGTAACCATACACAACATAATAATTCATGGTCTTTGTAGGGCCCGGAATGTCGATGTTGCGCTGAAATTTTTTACTGAAATGGCACAGGTGAACTGTGTTCCTGATCTCGTAACACACAACACCATCATGGAAGGCCTTTACAAGGTCGGAGACTGCGTAGAGGCTTTAAAAATTTGGGACCGTATCTTGGAAGAGGGTCTTCAGCCAGATATTATGTCTTATAACATTACCTTTAAGGGACTCTGTTCTTGTGCTAGAGTTTCGGATGCCATTGGATTCTTATATGATGCTTTGAAACATGGAGTTCTTCCGACTGCCACAACATGGAACATTCTTGTAAGAGCTGTTGTCGATGATAGACCTTTAATGGAATATGCCCTTGTTCCAGAGTCTAGGACATGATCGGATTCTTATGTGATGCTCTGAATCCAGGAATTCTTCCAACTTCCATAACATTAAATGTTCTTGCTTTGGGAAATTATTGACGATGGATCTTCAACATCTTCTTGATTGAAATGATTTTAGAAGTAAGTCCCTCTCTCTCTCTATTAGATATCTTTTAGCGAATCATACTGACTCCTTTGACGGTGCTGTTTTTTGAAAATTTTCAAATCCTGAAACCAAAAGTCTGCTAAACGTGTTAGCACTTGTAACTTTTAAGAGTTATATTTCTGCATTAGACATAAGCATGAGACGTTACTAACGACTCTGAGTATGTAGAAATTCAGGGTCATTACAGCACTTGCATTCAGCCTAAGAGGATGCCAGATCTGCTAGTACATATGTTTTGAACTAGTTCTATTCTTTCTTAGAATAACGAGTGCATTGATCAGATATTATCAGCTTGTAGGTCCTTTCATTTTCATTTTCGATGGCTGACTAGTGAAGTTCAAGATTTTCAAGAGTTTCATTTCTTCAAGATTTTCATTTTTATTTTAGTATAGTGATAGATTTCATAGAGCCAGTAGTAATAATGATAATGTTTCCAAAAGAGTTGCAACTTTTATTTGAATTTGAAAGCTTTTCAATTTGGCACCAACTATTTGGAAGGTTAGATTGGAAAGTTATTTCTTCTCCCCAGAAAATTCAAGACTTTATGTAATGACTAATACAAAACAATGTTCGTAGAGTCGAACGTAAAAAATCGTTACATACAACACAAGTTTTAAAGTAAATAAGGTTAAAAATGATATTAAAATTGACGCAAAGAGAGACTCCTCTAGTGCCCCTACGTAGCTGCATGGCTCTGTACGTCCCTGCCACGACCCTGATCTACTGTTCACCTGATAATTAAAGTGAAGTAGATATGAGTATAAGAATACTCAATAAGCAACCTACTTGTAGGCTCTTGTCAGACTTAATCCTTACGATAGTCTCAAGCTATGTGCTCATATTCTTACTCTAGCATGAGTCAATGTCAAGGCTTACCGTCTATACAAAGCCCTATAAGGCTTATATATACCTAAACTCATACTCTATGGTGTATAACTAATACCCCTTTGACCATAATGTAGGGTTTGATTGTGCTAAGCTTTTGTTTACGTTTCTCAAGGTCTTTTATTAACCCTGTGCTATTTACACGTGAGTCAATTCACCCTATAACGGGCTCGTAGGTAAATCTCGTGTGTATAAAGTAACTTGTGCACTACATGTAGACTAGTACTCTAATCGCTTGCACCCCATATGAACTATATACTAGGTGCACCCCAGTTGCATACCCTCTACGGCTCCGGGTGTCCCCTATGGGTGATAACTAACTTCTATGTATCAAGTAGACCCTAACCATGCTAGGAAAGTTCACAATTAGGGGTTGCACCCTAGCCGAGACTTGATTGCCTGGTCACTCAAATATACCTGCGGTCACTCAAATATACCTGTGGGACTCAAAACACCTGTGGGACTCAATGTAGGTTCTAGGACAAAGGAAATGTGCAATAATTGCTCACTTGAAAATAGGTAATGTAATTATGTTGAAGATATTGGTACAAGATCTTTTCAAATGACTGCCATGAAAATTCCAAGCATCAAATGTTGTAACTCATTACAGAGACCTGGTGATTGAAGTCATAATCTCCAAGGCCAAATGTTATCGATGCAAAAGTGAAGTTGCTTGATGTATCAGCCTCAAGTAGAGAGGATTTACTTGGGGTTATGCCTCATGCTATAGTTATTCTTTTCTTTCATTGCTCATACTTTCATCAATAACAAAACTCCCTTCACTTTTTTTCTTCAGGCTGCTCTTTGATGTCTGTTTTTTCCATTTCAGATGACAACCTTTGTTCATACGAAAACTGAAAAACCATAGCAATAAGAACTACCCCAAAAACTGCAACTTTTCGCCAATCAGGTGAAGAAAGGAACGACTCGGCAATCACTATAACAAGCAGGCCAATGAATGCAAGATAGATATATCGCCTCGTCTTCGAACCAGCGGTTTCATTTGTAAGCTCTTTTATCTTCTCCATTTCTAGTTTAGCATTCTCTTTGTCTACAGGCTTTCTCTGTCTCAGATTCTTAAAGAAAAGGCCTTCATTTCGTTCTTCTTCGATTCGGCCTTCAAATTTAGCCAACAAATCATCATTCTTCTCTATTTCTTGCCTGTTCAACTCTACAGACTCCTCAAAGACCTGCATCTGGCTCTCAATGTTCTCCATAATCTGTTCATCAAATAACATGAACAAGAAGAAATGGGTTACATTCCAAACTGCAAAATTCATTGACAAATGAGAAAAAAAACCAAAAATATAGACCCGGGCACTGGCATCCTCAAGCTCTTTGAAGGCATCTTCTCCAATCTTCTCAAACTCGGCATCGGCCTCTTCAGCAAACTGAGTGAGATCAGCTGATTTTTCGTCTAAGAAATTGGTGAGTCGGAGTTTTTGAGTTTGAAGCTGTGCTATTCTGGCCAGCATCTCCTGCTTTTGAGGGTCTCCTTCACTCGAGTCAGAAGTGTTGGACTGGCAGAAGCGCAGGAAGGAGGAGGTCTTTGAATTGGGAAGTTTTGGTGTATATAAGAAGGTATGTTTGTGGACTGTAAAAGATGTTTGAATTGGTTTGAAGACTATTATCATCTTTGTTTATTTTAGAGAGAGAGAGAGAGAGAGAGAGAGAGAGAGAGAGAGAATTGCAGAAGGAAGAGGAAAGCTTAGATGGAGTTCTTTATGGACCTCTCATTTTTTTTTATGTACTTTATCACTTTCGTATTTAAAATATGAGATTTTGATAATTGATTCTCATTGGAGTTTGGTTGCCTTTCTTATCCTTTTGAAAATTGGTATTTTCATCAAAACCCAATTTATTATTAAAAACAAAACTAATTTACTAATGTAATTAATTGGGCTCAAATTAATTACATATAATTTTAAATTTTGTGAGTGTAATTCTTTTATTCATGTAAATTTTCTTTTTCTTTTTGAAAATCAATGTCAAATTAGCAATAGTGAAAATCAGGCCCATTTAGTACGTTGCTGCCACAAGAATATGGGCTTAACCCTGTAAAATCCCCTTAACATTTGGGCTTGAGCCCATTGGAAAACACTAAACCAAACATTAGTGGGCCAAGGATAGGCCCAAGTAGATTATCCAAGTGGATGATGATATAGGGTGTTTGACCCCAAACTTGCTGGATATTGAGAAATAGAGTGATTGGGCAAACCCCAGTTCGTCAAAATCAAAGAAACATCCGTCCGTTCAACAATGTCCCAGAAGTACGAACTTAAAAGTTACAAGGTTGACTCTGCCCCAAGATGATATTGATATACAAACAACCAATTTTTAAAGATTTTATGGAGATTTGTTCCAAACGGAGCGAGAAATCAATGCTTAAATGAGAAGCGAGAGAGGGAGTGTGGAGAGATTTTTCCCTATTACCTAAAGGGGTTGGAAATATGAATTATAATCCCGCTCCCACTCACTTTGTATATTATACGTACTTGTATATATCTTGCCCAACCCGGTAGACATCTTAACAGTCAAGTTGAAAATTCAATGGGTTCACCATTGACATCCTTTCACCCGAACATGCAATTCAATATTAAATCTGATTATCCTTCCACCCTAAACCCTAATGGCCAAAGTAGAATACATAAAACAGGTAAGAAAAAAAGTGTTTTTTGGATTTTGTGGGTTATAGATTTCATAATTGTGTTCAAAGTTCTTTTAACTTAGATTTTAATATTTCATTTGATTGTTGTTTTGGCAACCCAATTCAGTGTTATATACCTTTATTTGTCACTTTGAAGCTGGGATCTAACTAGCTAGATAGCCATGTTCTTGGTGACCCTAACTTAATCATACTAATCCAATCAAATTACAACTAAATAATTAGCATAAAAAAAGGGCCAAACTTTAATGGGTTGGGTCTTCATCAGCAGCCAATTCAAACTCAGATTCAAATTAAGTTCTTAGAGACAGAAAGTACTTACAACAATGGTTTAATCTTAAGCATTCAATATGGAAACCATTGGTTGAGAAGCTGACCTGAAAGCCATTTCCCAACAATAAAATAATATTATATATATGCCATTTATTTTATTTTATTTTATCTTTTTTTGCAAACTACCCATTTTCATCTTACTTGCTTGAGATTTGAGAATGCCACCTTCCTTCAACTCTCGACTTTCTCTGCCCTTTCCTCTTCACCAGAAACCTGAAAGTGACAAATAAATACCTTTTTTTTCAAATCTCTAAAGCTAAGTCGAGTTTTGAATCAAGATCTTTCATGTATTAGAAGACCGTTCTCGAGAAGAACGCTCGAGTCAGGTCTTCTTGAGAGCGAAAGAACATACGCTATCTCGATCATTAGAATAAGAGTCATTCCATATAATTCAAACAACCAGCACCTAATACCTCATTGTTCAGATATGAGTTGGTGTGAGATCCCACATCAGTTGGGGAGGAGAACGAAGCATTTTTTCATAAGAGTGTAGAAACATCTCCCCAGCAGACGCGTTTTAAAAACCTTGAGGGGAAGCTCAAAAGAAATAGCTCAAAGAAGATAATATCTGCTAGCGGTAGGCTTGAGCTGTTACCGTTGGTTTGGTTTGGTTTGGTTTGGTTGGAGAGTTTCTTGGCTTCCAGAACTAGAGAGATTAGTCCTCTTCTTACTTGAAAACAGCAAAACAGCTCTATCATTCACCAACCATGCAAAAACGACATTTCAGCTAAGCTTTATATAAGGGAGGCTTTCCTATTATTCATTACCCACATCTAAACAAGGCTTGTATCCAGTAGAGGGAGAGAAAGAGAGGGGTAAATGGGTTTAATAATTCGAGTTCTGGTTCTCGTGGCCTGTATTTTCCCAGCTTTTGTCGAATGCCGAGTTCGACGCTACACATTCGATGTAAGTACTGAATCTTTTATACCAACCACAAGCAGATGGCAAGACTTTCTAACACTCACAATTCCCAGCTTTGTTTTTTTTTTCTCTTCTTGTTCACTTTTGTACTCGATAATGTGTTTTGTTTTTAAGGCAAACTTCTTTTCTGATCTTTCATTTTAGCTGACCCATCAGTGTTCTTAACCAAGACAAATCAGACCTTTTAGGGATTCATATTCCTATTCTATATGTTAATGGCAGGTGGTTTTGAAAAATACTACAAAACTATGTTCGAGTAAGCAAATCGTCACGGTTAACGGAAAGTTTCCAGGGCCGACCATCTACGCTAGGGAAGATGACACAGTACTCATTAAGGTTGTTAACCATGTTCAATACAACCTTTCTATTCATTGGTAAGCCTGCCTACAAAACTTCTACTTCACCTTTCTTATGAAGCCTAAGAACGAATGATTTGTAGTAATATTTGAAGGAAAGGAAAGTAATGAATGATGCTACCTCACTTTCTTGTTCTGGTCAGGCATGGAATTCGGCAGCTCCGAACAGGTTGGGCAGATGGACCGGCATACGTTACGCAGTGTCCAATCCCATCAGGGCAAAGCTATTTATATAACTTCACTGTTACTGGCCAAAGAGGCACCCTTTTTTGGCACGCACATATCCTGTGGCTGAGGGCAACTGTCCATGGTGCTTTGGTCATATTGCCTAAGCTTGGCGTTCCCTATCCATTCCCAGCTCCTCACAAAGAAGTTGTCATTGTATTAGGTGAGCACGCTTGAAAGTAAACGATCTGTCCCCTTGCCATCCTTTTTAGCTTCACTTAGACCTGACTGAATTGATTCTAAAAAATGATCCTGCTTCTGCAGCTGAATGGTGGAAATCCGACACCGAAACCGTGATCAATGAAGCTCTTAAATCAGGATTAGCTCCAAATGTATCAGATGCTCACACAATAAATGGTCATTCAGGACCCCTCTCGAGCTGTTCTACACAAGGTACAAACGACCATTATGCATATCAGAAACTTAAAGACTATGGCGCTGTGCACTCGAATCTAACATCGACGTTTCTTATCAGGGGGATTCACATTGCCTGTCAAGAATGGTAATACTTACTTACTGCGTATAATCAATGCTGCACTCAATGAGGAGCTGTTCTTCAAGATTGCTGGGCACAAACTCACAGTTGTGGAGGTTGATGCTACCTACGTGAAACCATTCCAAACAGACACAATTTTGATTGCACCAGGCCAAACCACCAATGCCCTCATCACTGCTGATCAAAGCTCTGGCAAGTACTTAGTTGCCGCCTCCCCTTTCATGACCGCTCCGATCGCGGTCGACAACAACACTGCCACAGCCACACTACATTACTCCGGCACGCTCGCAACAACCACAACGACGTTAACTGCCCCACCTCCTCAAAACTCAACATCAGTCGCCAACAACTTCTTAAACTCTCTCAGAAGCATTAATTCAAACACCTACCCTGCAAGAGTTCCATTGACCATTGATCATAACCTTCTCTTCACAGTTGGCCTTGGGATCAACCCTTGTCCCACCTGCAAAGCTGGGAATGGAAGCCGGGCAGTGGCCAGCATTAACAATGTCACATTCGTAATGCCAACCACAGCCTTACTTCAAGCTCATTATTTCAACATCAATGGAGTTTTCACAACTGATTTCCCGGCTACCCCACCTCATGTTTTCAACTACACAGGCAGTGGACCATCGAATTTACAGACAACGAGAGGGACAAAGCTTTATAAACTGAAATACAACTCGACGGTGGAACTTGTTTTACAGGACACCGGGATCATCGTCCCAGAAAACCACCCTGTTCATCTCCATGGGTTTAATTTCTTCATCGTTGGAAGCGGAATCGGTAACTACGACCCTAAAAATGACCCCAAATCATTCAATCTCGTCGATCCTGTTGAGAGAAACACCGTCGGAGTGCCTTCCGGTGGATGGATAGCCATCAGATTCAGAGCTGATAATCCAGGTAAAAAAAAACTTGGTTAAATTACAGTGTTCCATCACTAAATCGAACACATCATCAAAGATTAGAGAAAATCACTCACAAATATCCTTCCTAATTGCAAATCTTTGTGTTGGTGTAGGAGTTTGGTTTATGCATTGCCATTTGGAAGTGCACACAACATGGGGATTAAAGATGGCTTTCTTGGTGGAAAATGGCAATGGACCAAACCAATCGATCATTCCTCCTCCAACGGATCTTCCAAAATGCTAAGCGAACGGCATGGGGAAGAAGAAGAAGAGGGTTATAACATACTGTCGATCGAAATGTTGAGGAAGAAGAACACAGCCATCGTTGGCTATTTTCTTTTTTGCTTTCTTCAAAAGAAAAATGTTCAAATAAATTTCTCTTTTGTTTAATTGTTTGAAAAAAAAAAAAAAAAAAAAAAA